AGTAAAATGGCTTTTTTTTCATGTGTCTATAATCCCATGGTAGTTGATTTGATTGGGAAAAATGGATTGTTCAGATGACAGTAAAAGTGTTTAAAAAGGGATCTGGAGATGTGACTCAGTTGGTAGAGAAGTTGGCTAGCATGGCGAAGCCCTGGGTTTAGCACCATATAAACTAGGTGTAGTGGTGCACATGCCTGTAATCTCAGCACTTGGAAGTTGGAGATGAAAGAATCAGAAGTTCAAAATCATCCTCAGCTACACAGTGAGTTTGAGGCCAGCTTGGACTACGTGATACCTTGTCTAAAAAAAATTTAAAGTCACCCTGCATGTGTACAGAAAGTTTTTCCCAAAGCCATAAAGTTGTTAATGTAAACCCCTAGTTCAGGAGTGGGTAACCTTCCTGAGTTGCTGGCCAGGAAGGCACTCTAAGACTCCCCATCCCATACAGGCTATTGACATTGTAATTGGTTACATACAAGAAGTGAATAGAAACTCCTTCTTGCTGAAGACACCACATGTTCTGGTTGCAGAATAGAGAAACCAAGCCTGCACTGGACTGAAAGCTTATTTCCCATTTTCAAGTGTTAGTTATACCAGACAGTTGTATGCAGGGAGCATAGAGAACTGTCACCCATGGGCTTGCCTGACTGTGGGCCCCACATGTTATCCTATCAGCATTCCTCACAGGATATGCCCACCCAGGGCAGTAGTGGCACGAGTAGTATGTGTACAAACAATCACATTCTCATTAGACCTTAGGCATACTCCATGAGAGAGAATCCATGCCTGGTACTGTAGGTTTTAAACAACCTTGTTTGTGTTTGTTTGGGGCATTCACATGCCCATCAGGAAAGTCACTGACATCTTTTTAAAATGGATATATGTGCCACTGAAACTGCTGTTTAAACATTTATGTCTGCACTCATAGATTACTACTCTTACCTGTCATGGTCAAGGACACTCTTTTCTTGTAGTGATGACAACAGCAGTAACCTCCAAGTCCAGCTGTTGGTTATGTGGTAAATTTCCTTTACCCAATCAAGTAGGAATGTCCTGGAACATACCACCCTTTCTCTCCTAAATTGGATCATACTATAAACCAGCAGGTATAGAGTTTGCTATATAAAATCACCTGTGGCCATTTTAGCCATGCAATTTCACTGGAAGGTACACAATTGAGTGGCCATATCCTTGATGTTTTGCCTATCCTGTCTTAAAACCTGACACCACTAAAACTCTATTTTATTTGGGGACTGGCATGGTGGAAGCACCCCTTCACCCTCCTCATGACTCTGGTGAGTTGTTGGATGATTTGATTCAGATAAAGACTCTCCTCCCAGTAATTGGGATCATGTATCCCTGATTAGATTTTGTGTCATTTTTGGAGTAAGCATTGTTGCTGTAGAGTGTATGGTAGAGTTGCTGTGTGATAATGGCTCAATGCTCCACTCTTGGCATGAGGAGAAAAATCATTTAATTACCCTCTCCAAGGCTCAGGGAACACTATGGGAGAGGAGGCACAAAGAATGTAAGAGTCACAGGAAGGGATAGTACATAGTGAGACTACTTTTCTGAATCCTAGGCAGAGGGATTCCATCTTAAACAAGTTACCATTCAGCTGTTCTGTGTCAGACTGTTTCAGAACAAGCCATCCTTCCCATGGTTGAACAGCGTTTACAGAGACCAACAGAATCCCAATATGAGCAAGGACAAGTACTCAACTTTCCCAGAGTCTGGTTTTGCCTGTGCCTTTTGTCTGAGTCTGTAGTCACCTTTGCTGCTTTAACACCAGATGAATCTCTAAACCCAGGTTGACACTAATTCTGCTGTAGAGGAAATTGTAAGGCAGTGGGTTGGTGATTTAGGGAAAATGCAGGTGTCTGTATTCATCTACTGCTCTCAGTAATTCTTTTTCAATTAAAAGTTTATTTTTATGTTTATAAATGGCCTGCATGTATGCAAGTGTGCCACGAGCATGAAATGGCATCAGAAGATAGCATCAGATCCCCTGTAACTGGAGTTACAGATGGCCATAATCTGCCTTGCGGGTGCTAGAAACTGAACCTGAGTCCTCTGCAAGAGCAGCAAGTGCTCTTAACTACTAAACCATCTATCTCTCCAGCCATTTGTGATATGTTTTTTGAGGCAATAGTTATTTAGGACTATATTTGTTTACTTTGCATGTAGTTTTGGATTTCTCAATTTCTTTTTTCTTCTTTACTTTTCATTTCATTCCATAATAGCCAAATGATATCTTTATATGATTTCATTTTTATATTTTATTTATTTTTATTTTATGTGTATGAGTGCATTGCCTGCATGGGCCTAGCTTTTTAAAGCTGGGTTCTAAGGATTCAATCCATGCTCTCATGCTTGTGCAGCAAAGTACTTTATCAACTGAGCTACTGATCCAGTCCTGCATTTGTTTATTTATTTATTTAGGTTTAAATTTTTTTACAACAGATGTGGGCCAATTTCTCAGTGCTTATACTGGTGATTACAATTAATGTCCTAATTTATAATAATTCACTTTAAATTTATAACTAAATTTCAGAAGTATAATGGGTTTTTTAATCCTTTATAGCCACCAAAGAGCCTGTACTTGCCCTCTTCGAAATGGTTGTCTCAAAATAGTAAGATATGTAACATGGGCTCCAAGAGTAAGAGTTACTAGTGAACAAGTATATATAGCTATATGTCTCATCTCAGACTAACACAGTATCATATCTGCTGTGCTCCTTTTGCAGTCATTCCAAATCTACCCAGATTCAAAGGTAACAGATATAGACCCTACTTGTTGATGGAAACATCAAATAATTTGCAGACAAGGTTTAAAACAGTCACAATAGGGAGCAGGAAAAATGGCTCAGCAGTTAAGAGCACTGGCTGTTTTTGTAGAGGACATGATTTCCATTCTCAGTACCCACATGACAGCTAACAACTGTCTGTAACTCCAGTTCCCAGGGGGTCAGAATTGTTTTTTGGTCTCCAAGGACACTGCATGCATGTGGTGCACTTACATACATGCAGTCAGTATTCATGCACATAAAAATAAAAATTTAAAAACCTGCCAAAATAAGTGAAGAAATCAAGACTTGGAGACTTTGCTAAGGCCATTTGTTTGGTAAACATGGAACTTTTCATTGCTAATTACACAATTCTTTGAAAGTGAAGGAATTGGTATTAGAAGTACAGGCTTCCTTTTCTCTTCCCTAGTTGTGTGTGTGTAGCATCATGTAAATAGCATCTTAGGACAAGAGACTCCACCTTTCCCAGGATGAGCTAGCTGTCTCCAGAGACAGCTGTGCAAGTGTTCCCTCCATTGCAAGCCAAGGTGACCGGCCTTGACTTCTGCACTGGTTTCCCTCTACTCTTACAATTTCATAGGAAGGGAAACCAGTAGAGAAAAGAGCTATTATTGAAATTCAAAATAACGGTAAATAGGCCTCTGCTAGGGTCAACAGGTATGGTGTGATTGTCAGAAAGGGCCTCAAATTTTGAAGCAATTTCTAATAATTTGTACATTCATATCATTGTATTAGATGATTAAAGACATGCATTAAATGTAAATATTTAAAACATTTTAATATCTTAGTAATCTTAGAAAATGTGAACTTAATTTCATCTAGATCTTTGAGAAGACCTGCCTGACAATGTAAGCTGCACAGGCCTTGATAGGAACTAACATATACTATATTCCTGAGTGGAGAAATCACAATGATTAAGTATCAGAATTGGGGCCTGAGAAAACAGTATCAACACTGAAAGAACAAGAGCTGAATTCTCTTCCCATCCCATTATACATGTGCTATGGATTATTACAGGAGCAGGGGCAGTAGTGTGGGCTCTGGTTACTGTTTAGCACATTAACCCCAGGCCAGTAGGTGAGTACTGACAGAATAGAGGAACTCAGCTCAGAAAGTTTCCTGGAGCTGCCCAGCCCTGCTTCCCTTCAAAATGCCATGGGGACTTCAGGTGCAAGGGAGCAGTGTGCAACATCTCACTCCAGCTCCTACCATCTCCTGGTGTGCCACTTGGGAACTGATTTCCATTGCTGTCTTTGTATGCCCTGAGTAAACAACTTTGGCTTGGTGGGTAACTCCCTTTGCTAGGAGGATCAAGTTACAAAAAACACAAAGGGATTGCAGTGAGTTTGCTCTGCTCTCAGGTGAGGATGAGACCTTGAGAGCGAATGTTCTGAGCCTGCCTTGGAGAGTCCAGGCTACTCCTAGGTCCTTTTGCTTCCTGTTTACTGGTAGTGTTGATACTTACATAGCAATTCAAATAGCAAAATATCATTCATAGGGCATTTTTTTTGGTCTTTTTTTGAGACAGGGTCTCCCTGTAGCCCCAGCTGTCCTGGAACTCACTATGTAGACCAGGCTGGCTTTGAACTCACAGAGATCAGCCTGCCTCTGCCTCCTGAGTGCTGGGATTAAAGGTGTGCACCACCACACCCAGCCCAGGACACATTTTTTAAAGTCCTCTTACCCAGGAGAAGTCAAAAGTTCATATTGATAACATTATTAAAGCAACTGAGAGGCCAAGACTATGTTCTAAATTTATACCCTCAAATGGAACTCGTTTTTTATAGAGTTTTTAGGATACCTAACAAATTTTATCAAATACAAACTTTTAAAAAACAAAATGAGCTTTAAAAGAGTAGAAAGCTGGGCATGGTGGCGCACGCCTTTAATCCCAGCACTTGGGAGGCAGAGGCAGGCGGATCTTTGTGAGCTCGAGTCCAGCCTGGTCTATACAGTGAGTTCCAGGACAGCTGGGGCTACAGGGAGACCCTGTCTCAAAAAGACAAAAAAAGAGAAGTAGAATGAAACATATTTTCCAATTACAATCCAGCAAAACTGAAAGTTAAAAGGAAATGGCAATATTGGATAACTCTTAGACTAAAGGAGAATTATAATGAAAACAATTTTGAAATCAAGAAAATTATGTATAAACAGTATAGAATGTGATCAGAGCCATACTTAGGAGAAAATCCATAGTCTTAAATGTTTTTATTATTACAGTAAAAACAATGAAAATACAACATTCTGGATATTTATTAACGCTTATACTGTGTAGGGCCTGAACAAAATATATTTCATTTAATCTTCAGAGTACTTAAGTTGAGTACTGTTCATTACCCTTTATGATAGGAGGTAGGTCCTGTATATTCCCTAATTAGGCATATGCATGCAATGTTCTAACTATGTCATCTGTTTCCAAGAACTACTTCACATGTTTCTTGATTTAATGCCACAAATGTTTATTAATGGTTATTATATACAGGGCAGAGCAACAAAGAGGTAAATACAAGATGTTTTCTACCCTGTAAAGATCTAGTCATGATATAGAGGAGGGGAGAATGCAGTTCACACTATGATTGCAACTAACCCTACTAGCTAAAATCAACTGTATTAAAAGCTAAAAGTAATGCCTAGCCACAGCACTAGGATTGCAGTCAGAAAAGGGATTCCAAACCATGGTGAGCATGTAGAAGTCTACTATAGTGCTTGATGCCAGTGTTTAGGGAAATAGCTCAAAGCTATTCAAATAATTACTTTATGCAAGAGAAGCAGAAAGAGTATATATCTATCTATACATATATATTTCCACTTTATTAAAATAGTGTATAAATACAGAGCAGTTGGGCACATCCATTCTAAGGCACTGTTCTGGTTTGAATGCAATTCTACAAGAGAGAAAGAAAAGCCATTACAATCTGTACTTTTAATCTCTACATTCAGACTCCTCTGGTGTTTCACGTTTATTGTTACTGGGGTCTAATTTTAATCCCAGACTTTATAGCAGCATCATACAGGGACCTGGATGCCAAGAATTAAAGATACATCCTGGCTCTGGCACTTGATATGATTTGGCACTTAATTATAAACTCTCTTGTATTGTTCTCCATTTATTCCCAACTCTTGTTTAACCAGAGATATTAAAAAGTCTTTATGAGTGTTACACATGAATCACATTTTACTACTAGCTCCCATTAAGCCTAGAACAGTACAAGCTAGGCACATAGTACATACCTGCCAGATACTTAGATATCATTTCCAAGAACTTCAATGCAATAGAAGAGATATATGTTCCCTAGATCTAGTTTAAGGATGACTGGGTATCTTCATAAAGGGAATACACTTGAATGTCCCATTTCTTATATCTAATAACAAGGAATTAAGCTCAGTGAATATCTTCACATGCCAACAGCTTTAACTGATAATGAGACCTCCTCCCTAAGTATGGAATTTGAGTTGTTACTATGAATACATGAGAACACTTATATAAGTAGCAACTCTGTGTGTAGTGTGTGTGTGTGTGTGTGTGTGTGTGTGTGTGTGTGTGTGTGTGTGTGTGTGTGTGTGTGTGTGTGTGTAGGAGAGAAACAGACAGATGGAGACAGCTACAGAGAGGTTATAAGTAAAAATTTTAAAAATGTACAGAATCACTGGACAACTTACACATCATGTGAATTAGTAACCTTCACCCCCTAAATAGGTATGAGTGTGTGTGTGTGTGTGTGTGCGTGTGTGTGTGTGTGTAAGTAAAGTAAAATCCAAAGAATCTGAAAATCACTGGGCAACTCATAAATTACATGAATTAGTGATCTTCCCCTCTTGAAATTTTATGTGTGTATTATACAAAAGAGTAAAGAATTTTTTTCCTTGAAGCTGGAAATAACTAGGTTTGGAGCAACAGGACTACACTGATAATTGTACAGATACTTGTTTAAGGCAGTATGTCCCAAGTGATACACACAGAACACTAGTTCTGCAAGTTATTACTAAGCATAGATGAAAAAGGTTCTTGGGTCAAATAAATTTGGAAAACATTGAGACAAAAGAGGTGCCTCATCCTCCTTTACTAGACTAGGACCTTTCCAAGAGTCTCATATGCTGATAAGCATCCTGAATTTAGGAAGGGTAAACAGCTAGAAGCAATTATCAAAATTATTTGCAGTACATCTCACAGAACTAAGTATTCTATGACACTTACTTCAGAAGATACAGAATTAGAGAATGGATAAAACTTCAAAAGCATTGAAGAAATGACTGACTACCAAAGGAAAATGAAAATCCATGGATACTGGTTTAGTCCATCTAAATACAATTAGACTCTATTGGTACAATTTCAACTGTCAAGTTATTTATGCTAAGCCTAGCACACGATTAAGAAACATAATACTCCACTCTAATCACCATCACCACAGACTGCCAACGAAACAGACCAGCAAAGTTTGCGAAGTTCCAAAGTTAAAATCTTAACTTCTTTAAGCATCCACATTTGAATAGAAACAACCTTGTTCCTCCCAGGCAAATAGCATCTTCTTCATCATCATGCTCATCTTTATTGTTTGGCAAAATTCACTGCCTCATTTCTAGCTACTTGGGGCCCATCTAAATGCTTCTCTTACATAATCACCTTTAATAATCATACATCAGAACAAGTGTGGTACGCTATGATAGACAAGGTTATCCCTCCATCATACTGGTCCTACCTAGAAAGGACTGCCATCATTATTTAGATGCTGTGTACTTATGCTTCTCAAATGGTTGCCTTAGAACACATTATTTCCACTGTAATAAAAAAGACAGGATGAATTAAATTCAGGAAAAAGTTACAGGAAAAGGTAGAGACTCTACAACTCACATGCTTTGAAAGAATGGCCTGAAAAATAGCACCCCCAAAAGCTGTACATAAAGTTCAAACAAAGAAGTTCTTTCAAGATAAGCTGCTTCAGGCTCTAAGTTTTTCAAGCTAGTATTAATTTCTATAGGGCCTGATTCTCTTCACACTTCTTAAAGAAGTCCCCTAAAGTGAGTGACCTGGTGCATAATAAGGCATGCTCTCTGTCTGAAGCTTTTAGAACAATGACTGCACTTGTATGGCTTTTCCCCTGTATGAATTCTTAAATGAATTACAAGGCTTGGTCTCTGTCTAAAGCTCTTCCCACAGTAATTACATTTAAAAGGTCTCTCTTCTGTGTGTGTTCTCTGGTGCAAAGTAAGCGCTGTCAGTCGACTGAAACTTTTCCCGCAATTATGACATCTGTGAGGTTTTTCACCAGTATGAGTCTTCAGATGTCTTTTAAGACTTGATCCATGACAAAAACTTTTCCCACACTCAAGACACTTATATGTTTCTTCTTCAGAATGGGTTCTCTGGTGCCCAATTAGGTGTGATCGCCGAGTGAATCGCTTCTTACATACAGTACATTCATAGGGTCTCTCTCCTGTATGAAGTCGTTGGTGTCTATGAAGGTCTGAACTTCGAAGGAACCTTTTTCCACATTCAGGGCACTTGTGAGGTTCCTCTCCTGAATGAATTCTCTGGTGCCCGGTAAGTTGTGACTTCCGAGCAAAACATTTTCCACACTGAGGACATCGATGAGGTTTCTCCCCAGGACTCTTCTTCTTTGGAGGCTTAGGGTTGAGAGGTTCTTCCACGTTGGAGCTCTCAGGTGTCTCTCCTACAGTGGGGTTCGGAGGATCTACAAGTTTGGTTAAATCTGTCTGTAAATCCTCTGGGGGTGGTTCCCACTGATTTTCTAACTGGACATAGTCCTTTTGCAAAATGGGACCATGGAGAGCATTCCCTTCTAAAGTTACAATAAATGGATACATATTTTCCAGCTTTTTCTGTTTTGAAGCATCTTCATCATTTTCTATCCCGATCTCAAAACCTGAGAAGAAAGAAATGGCAGATATCATTGTATTGGAAGAAAAAAACAAGTGAAGAAAGATGAATTGTGAATACAGAAATCCCTATAGAATTCCAAACTTTTAAGAACATTTAAATTTTTTTTATTTTGTGTGAATGTTCTGCCTGAATGTATGTAACTGTGCAACACGCATGTGCATGCAACGCCCACAGAAGGCAGAAGAGGGCAACAAATTCCCTAGAACTGGGGTTAGAGATGGTTGTTAGCCACCAAGTGGGTTCTGGGAACCAAACCTGGGTCCTTTGCAAGAGTAACATGTGCTCTTAACTGCTGACCCATCTCTCCAGCCCTGAATTCCAAACTCTTTGCCCTGATTACTGATCATTTTCCCCCTTTTCTTTCTTCCTTAGTATATAAATAAGTAATTGCTTACCAATCTTGGAATCAAGTAATTGTTTCATTTCTTTCGGATCCTCTAATTCTTTTACCCATGACTCTTCTCTATGATCTAATTGAAAGTTCATGTCAAGCTTTGGCAACTGATATCCTGGTAATAGAAAACAAAGAGGGAAGCATGACAATTTGGTTCATCAAAGGCTTATTTCCCCCAGAATTTAGACCGATTTCTTGGATATGTGGCCTTTTAATACATATTTCTGCCTCAATTACTGTTATTTCATCTTCAGTCACTTATAAGAGCCTTTTATTTTGATAATTAATGTATTTATGTTAAATTTACAATGTGGAAAATATCTTCATAAAATGTCTGTATACTAAAATGGGGAAAGCCAGCTCCTGAGTGCTAAAGAAGAGAGGTGTAAAAGTAGGAGTTAGGAAATTGTTGGCTGGAGTAAGTTCATTTGGCATCTTCAAATAAACAGTTCAATTTCATCAAACTTATTAGGCAACCAGCAAAAGCAATTTTTACGTTTTTGTTTCAGCAGAAATCTAGAAGTGCCATATTTTGAAAATAAACCAAATAACTACCAGATAGTGTTTCTGTCAACGTAAGGACAACGACAGTTTCCACCACATGCTCTCCTGACAACCCTGCCTTCATTGATAGCCCCAGGGCCTGCCATCCTGTTTTCACTGCTTCTTCCTTTCCATTCTCATTTCAGCACACTGTACTGCTCTACATTGATATTTGGTCTGGAAATGGTCAAGTTGAGATAAAAAAAAAACTGGCTGAAGATTAAATATTAGTATTATTAAAATGGCACACACATGCTAACATTAATCCAGAGGAAAACTTGTATTTCAGAACAAGGTATGGAAATGGGTAGAAATTCCTTACTTTGTTTTATGAAAAAAGACCATATATTTCTCTTTTCCAGATTAAGAAGCAACAGATAAATCTCAAATGAAATACTGTTGAAATTCACTACTTTAGCTGAGTATGATGGTACATGCTATAATTCTAGACTGAGATAGGAAGACTGCAAGTCCCAGGCCTACTGTAGCAACTGCGTGAGTCTCTGTCTCAAAAACAAAAAGTACACTTCAAAATTCACTATTTCATATTTGTTTGGCTTTCAAAGGCAAGATTCAATGAAAGGATAATATATGAAACACATCAAACAAATCTCAAATTCACAGATACTTCTGTGAAGTATCAAAGTATAAAGCCTGAAACTTGGAAGAGATTTATAAGCTTAGATACAAAGATACTGAATCAGAGAGCACTCCATGATGGAATATTATACTCACTCAACAATCGCCAAGTTCTCTAGAGTTAAGATAGAAACGACTAGAAAATAACTAGCCTTTGAGGTAGTAGTTGGTGGTGGGGAGACATTGATGTTAGTTGTGAAGAGATGGGGACATGAGAAAACACGAAGACTTCTGGAGAAAAGAACAGAGGACAAGAAAGAATCGGCCTCTGCATGGTGATGGCACAGCAGAGGGTGGGGACTGAAGCCAAGAAAAGGATAAATTCAGAAAACAGTGTTCAGCAGCATGGTAAAGTATAAAGCCTACATTAGGACCATGGAATCTGCATTGAAAGCTGGCAACGGGGAAGTCTATTCAATCATATAATCATGCTGCACAGTTGGGAGCTATCATAAGGTCTCATCCCTACATTTTTGTTTCCAGAAACCCATAAACCAGTCCAGGAAAAGTTGGGAGTAGAAAGCCAATCTGGCTACTGGGAAATAATGGAATCAAATCTACTGAGCGCTTCATGCTATGATGCCTTTTCTCCCTACTCTAATAATACAGTGCTTGAAAATTTTAGCCAGAGCAACAAGGCAAGAGAAAGAAATAAAAGTGAAACAAACAAGAAAGGATGAAGGAAACTGGGCCTATTTGCAGATACATTCTTATATTTAAGACTTTTAAAGACAACACCAGAAGAATCTAAGATCTGGCACAATTTTAGCGAAGTGGCAGAATACAAAAATCAACACAAAAAATCAGTATTTATATAAATCAGTACTGAACCCGAGAAAGAAATCAGAAAACAGTCCCATCTAGAAGACTCTTTTAACAATACCTAGGAAAGGGGCTGGAGAAATGATTCAGCAACTAAGAGTGTATACTGCTCTTGCAGAGGACACAAGTTCAGCTCCCAGCACTCATCCTTTGTGGCTTACAACTGCCTAGAACTTCAGTTCCAGGGGATATGATGCTCTCTTCTGGCCTCTATAGGCACTGCACTCACGTATTCAAATCCCCAGACATTCAGACACACACAGCTATACATAATTAAGAATTTTAAAAAATCTTAAAAACACCTAGGAATAAATCTAATGAAGGAAATAAAAGACCACTATAATTAAAATTATAAAACACTTAAGAAACTGAAGTAAAGAAGATCCTAGAAGATTGAGGGACTTCCCATGTTCATATATTGGCAAAATTAAAATTGTGAGAATGGCCCTGTTACCCAAAGTGCTCTACTGATTAAATGTCCACTGATTAAACTAAATTTGAAATTCAAATTACATTCTTCACATAACCAGAAAAACAATCCTAAAATTCATATGTAAACACGAGCCATAGTGACAGTACTACATAGCACAGTACTACAAAAGCAGACATATACACTGATGAAATAAAATAGAGGACCCAAATAAAATACTATGCAATTCCAGCCATCTGATTCCTGACAAAGTTTCTAAAAGCATAGCTTGTAGCAAAGACAGCCTCTTCAACAAATGGTGCTGGGGAAATTGGTTATCTATATGTAAAAGATTAAAATTACATCCCTAGCTCTCATTCTGTTAAAAATGAATTAAAATGGATCAAAGACTATAATATAAAATCTGAACCTTTTAAACTACTAGAAGAAAATAGGGCAAATACTTCTAGATATGGGCATCAGCAAGGACTTTCTGTAAAGGACTATAATATCTTGGAAAATAATAGCAAGAATTGGCCAATGGGATTCTATCAGGGTAAATTTTTTTTCTCTCTATTCTCTAAGCTATTTCATTACTCTCTTAAATGTTCCCATTGAGGTGCATTGTTGGGTTTATAATACATTTGATGTAATAATATAATGCCACAAGAGGCAGAAAAACATGTAGACCACTATAGGACTAACATATATCTCAATGATATTTTTAGTATAACTCTGAACCTTATGATGATGAGTTAAAGCATAATTAGTAAAGTTTAGATCCTCTACTAAGGAAATAACTTTATAATGCATTAAAACATGTAAAATGTTACATTAGAAATATTTGTTTAGTGCAAATGAAATCAATAAGAGACAGAGGCACAAAAGAGTCATGAGACATATAAAAGACAGGAAGTAAAATGGAAAATATAATGCCAACTACATAAAAACAAGACTAACTATGAATGGATTTCAAAATTCAATGAAAAGCAAAGAAGTTCAGACTAGAGTTTTAATAAGACCTAAATATACAACAGCCTAAACGATACATACTTTGGTTTCAAGATACAATCAGACTGAAAGTAAAGTGATGGAAAAGGATATATCTTATAAATAATATCTATAAGACAGCTAGAAAAAATAGATAACAAAACAAAAATGTTACTATATAAAAAGGGGATCATTTTATAGTGAGTAAAAGATCAATCCTTTGGGAAGATACAGTAGTTACAAATATATATGCTGTTAGTAACAGAGTGCAAAAATACATTAAGTAAAACCTGAAAGAAATAGTACAAATAGGTAATTTTCAGTAACTCTTACATTAATAGATGAGAAATCCAAGCAGAATATTTATAATAGAAGATACAGAAAATACTACAAGCAGAACAGATATTCATAGAACACTCACCCACCAACAGCATAACACATTTTCTTTACAAGTACACAGAAAAATTTTGATAACAGACAAAATACCACAATATAGTACATATGTCCCCAAGTGCAAAAAGATCACAATTACAAAGTAGATTCTCCCCTGCAAAACAGACTGAAATAAAGTTGAAAACTTCATAAGTAAGTAGAAATGAAACAATACTCCTAAATCCAAATCATGAAAGAAAATTAGGAATATTTGAAACCAAATAAAAATGAGGACAGCGTAAACTAAACAATTAAGAAAACTAAACACTATAACTAGAAAGAAAGCATGTATTAGTGAGGATTTAATGAGAGAGAACCGTATTACTAAGAAAGTCATTGAACCAAAATTGGCTCTTAGATAACAGAGCTGACAAAGTTTTTTTTTTGCAAGATTAGCCATGAAGGGGCTGCAGAGGTGGTTCACCAGTTAAGATCACTGGCTGCTCTTACAGACAACCTGAGTTCAATTCTTAGCACCCACATGACACATGGCGGCTAACTGTAACTCCATGTCCAGGGAATGATGCCTTCTTCTGGCATCTGTGGGCATTGCATGCACATTGCACCTATATACAAATAAGGAAAACTTAAGTTAGCCATAAAAAGAAAATAGAAGGGTTGGGGATTTAGCTCAGTGGTAGAGCCTTGCCTAGCAAGCACGAGGCCCTGGGTTCAGTCCTCAGCTCTGGAAAAAAAAAAAGAAAGAAAGAAAATAGAAAATGTAAATTACTTCAATCAGAATTTAAAGAGGGGACATTACCATCAATCTTTTTAAAAAATTTATTATCTTTATTTTTATGTGTATGAGTGTATTATCTGCATGTATGTAAGTGCACCCATGTCCTGCAATGCCTGCAGATGTCAGAAGAGAGTGTTGAATTCCCCTGGAACTGGAGTTATAGATGGTTGTTGGCCACCATGTAGGTGCTGGGATTCGAACCTGGGTCCTTTACAAGAGCAGTCAGTGCTCTTAACTACTGAGCCATATCTCCAGCCCCATATTACCATCAATCTTTCAGAAAAAAAGTATTATAAAGGACAACTGTAAACAAATATATGAAAATAAATAGATATATGAATGAAATATACAAATTCCTATAAATACATATAATAGCCAACCTGGCACAGGAGGAAGTACAAAATTTGAATAGACCTGATAAAGAGTATTAATTAGTAATCAATATATTTCATGTCAAGAAAAGGTCAAGCTCAAATGGCTTTTGTAGTGAAAACAGAATACAATATTTTCTTTAAATTTTTTGATTTATTTTTATTTTACATGTATGAGTGTTTTGCCTGCATTTATGTAAGTGTGCCCAGGCATACAGTACCTTTGGAAGTCAGAAGAGGGTGTTGGATCCCTTGGAACTGGAGCTATGGATGACTATTAGCCACCATGTGGGTGCTGAGCACCAACCCTTGGTCCTCTGTAAGAGCAGCCAGTGCTCTTAACTGCTGAGCCATCTCCTCTCCAGCCCCAGAATATGATACTTTCTAACTTACTTTGCCATGAGGAAAGATACAGTGATGGAATAAAATTGGGAGTCCAGAAATAAGCCTTTACATTTATGGTCAATTGTTTTTATTTTAGTTTATTTTTTTATAATGTCAAGAAAATTCAATGAGGAAAGGAAAATCTCTTCAAAAAATTTTGTTAGGACTACATGCCAAAGAATGTTGGTTCCTTATGTCATACAACATATGAAAAATTCTTTAAAATATAAGAGATAAATTCACAAAAGGAAGGAAACATAAGTATAATGTTTCATGAGTTATTAAATATGACATTGAAAGTACAAATAACAACAACAAAAATAGCGATCCTGGGGAATTGGCTCAATGGATAAGAGTACTTGCTACTCTTAGGCCAGGTGCGGTGGTGGTACATGCCTTTAGTCCCAGCACTCAGGAGGCAGAGGTAGGCGGATCTCTGTGAGTTTCAGGCCAGCTGGGGCTATAGGGAGACCCTATCTCAAAAAAACCAAAAAAAAAAAAAAAGATAAGATTATTTGCTACTCTTTCAGAGGACCCACATGGTGGCCCACATTGGCTTTCAAATGGTACACCAGCCTTGCTCTCCTGGGATAAATACCAGTTGATTATAATATATAATCCTTGCTATATACTTCAGAATTCAGTTTATGAGTATTTTTAAAAGATTTTTACATCTATGTTCATAATAAGTATTGATCTATTGCTTCTTTTTATTGCATTGGCTTTACATAGTTTGGCTATCAACTTACAGACTGAGTCAGAAGTCTTTCCTCCTATTATTTGGAAGTTTTTGTGTAGGATTTTTTTAAGGATTTATTTATTTTTTGTTTTATGTGTATGAGTGTTTTTCCTGCATGGATGTATGTGAACCACATGCGTGCCTGGGGCCTGTGGAGGCCAGAGAAGGGTTTCAGATCCCCTGGATAAATACAAGAAAGCATAGGGTTGTCTTAAAATATGCCCTCAAATTATCTGGAATTCTTCCCTTCAGCATGTAGGATTTTCTTTTCCCTCTCTTACATGTAGCTTAGATTTAGCAGCTTTGTTCAGATGAGGATAATATTGAAGAAGTGATGGTGTGTGGCTGGGTTACCAACAACACTGTGGCGCATGCCTGGCTTTCTCTTGGATCATCTGCTCTGAGGGAAGCCTGCTGTTGTCATGGAGACACGTACATGGAGAAAGTCCCTTAGCAAGAAATTGTAGCTTCCTGCCAGCCTTCAGAAAGACTGAGCCAGAAACACCCTGTAAACTACTTGGAAATCCCTGGCTCTCAGAAATTGTAAAACAATAAATGATTTCTCCTTTTTTTCATTTTCTCCTTAAGTTTAGAGGTGATTTATTGCAGTGAAATTCAGTGCAAATATAATATTGTGGAATATGATACAAAAGAAAAAAAGTGGAGTGCTTCAGTGATGAAAGTTCTAATCCTAAACTTCACTTCATAAAGATTACATCACAAAGGCTACACTGCACTATGAAAAATTACATAATTGGGAGTTAGATGTTACTTATAGTATAATATTTCATATAATAGAATATTCTGAAGAAATTTAAAAGTTACATGAATCTTCTGGGCCAGTGAGATAGCCTGCCAGGTAAAAGCACTTGCCCCCAAGCCTGAAGAGCTGAGTTGGATCCTAGGAACTCACATGGTGGATGGAAAGAACGGACTCCACCAAACTGTGTACTGACCTACCTACACACGCGCCGGCGCGCGCGCACACACACACACACACACACACACACACACACACACACACAAACTGGGGTCCTCTGCTCCTGTGGGCCTCTCACAGTGCAGGCTCTGGTGTTCTCTCTGCCGTAGAGCTTTTGCACATGGTGCCTGTTGTTTGTTCTACTCAGAGTCCTCTCCCCTCCTCACTTGCAACATTGGCTCAGCAGGCCACTCCTGGGCTTTTCTATAGGTGCTTACCCTAAACCCCTTCCTCCAGAAGTCAGTTTCTCTTAACTAGTGGTAAGGTAGCCCTCTATGTGCTCCACTGTTATCCTATGCCCTCCAACATACCTTCCACATCACATATGGAACATGTAATACTATGGACAGATTTCAACTATCTATCAGACTTTGAGTTCCAGGATAGCTAGGGCTGCTTTTACGATTTGTGGACTACCAAATCTCCAGGGTCCATCCTGGGACCTGGCACTTCATTGGTGCTCATGCTTGTTGGTTGAATTAATAAGTATGAAGTCGTGAAAAGACTCTGGGCCTAGGCTCTGTGCTAGTGATTCCTGCATCGTGCATTTCTATTTTGTTACTTGGACTGTTCTCACTGATTTCCATTTTGTTGGTCTCTTTTGTTGTCTTGGTATTGTATAGTTTTACTTGCCTTTCTCTACTGGCCTAGCTCCTTCTAGAACTCACCCTGTCCCACTAGAGCCAGTGGACCTCAAAGTTGAGTGTACACAGTACTGATCTGGACAATGTTAAATGTGCACCCAGGATTGTGTTGATGCAGGAGGCCTCCTAAACCACATTCTGAAAAATACATTTCTAGTTTGGGTTTTCATGAAATCAACATTTCCTTCCACCCCCTATACCTGCCTGAATTATTTAAAAATATTTTTGGATTGATTCTTATTTTATGTGTAGGAGTGTTTTGCCTGCATGTACGTAAATACACTTGCATCATGCAATGCCCAAGGACCCCCTAGAACTGGAGTTATTTGACAGTTGTTAGTCACCATGTGGGTGCTGGGAACTGAATCCAGGTGCTCTGCAAGATTAGCCAGTGATCCTAACTGCTGAGCCCCATGATTGAATCTTTTTTTTAATATTTTACTTATTATTTTTATTTTATGTGTGAGTGTATTGCCTGCATGTATGAGTGCACCTGTGTTGTGCAATGCAGCAGAGGTCAGAAGAGGGCTTCAGATTCCCCTGGAACTAGAATTAAGGACGGTTCGTAGCCGCCATGTGGGTGCTGGGAATTGAACCCGTCCTCTGCAAGAACAGTCAGTGCTCTTAACCACTGAGCCATCTCTCCAGCCCCTGAATCTTTTTTAAAGGTCTAAAGAGCACATGTTACAAAGTATTCTTCTTGGATGGGACTTTTATGTCATAAAAGCAACTGTGGCTTTTTGTAATCTACATCACAGATCATGTGGCTAAAAAAAAAAGATGGACAACTATGTCCTCACCAGGGCACCCAAACTCCCATGAGAAGTTTTCCCAAGTAAGCTTGGTGAAAAGCCCCTTGAGCAAGGCCATCACCTTAACCAGATCCTAAGGACATTCTTTCTATTGAAAGCACATTCCCTATTGTTCCCAGAAAGTGATTTCCTCTTCCTCTTCCTCTCAGTCCTCTACTTCTTTATCTCAGTGGTCCATAGCCACTGTACCCCTCAGAGCTCTCAAGCTCTCAAACAGAAAGAAAGAACTAAAAGAAAACCTTAGCCAAAGAACTACTAGCAGTCAATCACTGCTGGATGAGGGAGAGTTGATATTTTTTAAGGGAATGACCCTAGATAGGCTGACCAGGCTCCAGTGGATGATCTCACACTGAGGGACATTTGGGTACACAAACATGACTAGATAGGCCTTATCATATATGACAGAATGCATGAAATCTGGAGGACAGGCTATGGAGGGGAGTGTAGACAGGGGAGATGGGGTCTAAATACGATTAAGATGTATTATATGACATGTACAAAAATTCAATAAAAATATGCATTTGAAAAAAGAAAACCCTTGCCTTACCAGGGTCTAAAAAGGACTGGCATTCACCACTGGCACTGTAGTTCAGATCCTGTGGCCCCGCTTGTGGAATCCAGGCCTCTGGTACTGGGGGATCCTGGACAGGTTCCATCACCTGGAGTTCAGGTGTATCCAGATGCAGGTTTGGTGGCATTGGTACTGTTCCAACTGGTGCCAATTCTTCCAAGAGCATGTCATCCACATCAATCTGTGGGAAAGGCCAAAACCCATCACTCCAGGTAAAGTCTACACTCCACTGAAAGTAGTTTTAGCTCCAAGTCAGCTATTCCTCACCAACAGTACTATGAGCCACACACATAGCTTTAAATTTTCTAGTGGTTACAGGAAGCAATGCAGAAAAGAAACAACTGTGTTGAGCTCTAATAGGATGTTGTACTTATTCCAAAATACCTAAACTATCAAGATTATAACGTGATCAATACAAATAATTACTGGTGAGCCATTCCACTTACTGTTCCCTTCACACAAGTCTTCTGCAGGTAATGTGCATTTCACGCTCACAGCTTACACCCAGGTGTACTGGCCACATTTCAAGTGCTCAAGTGCCAGGAGTGACGTGCAACTCCTGTAGTGTAGAGGGCATGCCTAGACACCACCCGCCTCCGTGAAAACCAAAATTGTCAACAAAACCCAGAAAGATAGAGAAATTAAGGGAAACTGCTCACCCATGCTACCCCAGGGAGGCAGGAAACTTTTGACAGACTCCTATGCAAACTACCACCTTCCCAGAAGCTCTGGCAGAGCAGCCTCCATCGCAAGCCCCAGAGACAGTAAATCTAAGGTGGAAGCTCTTATGGTTTCCTTCCTGGGACACTGCCGTGTGCTCAGCCATGCCCTCCCTGAACAAAGGCTTCCAGAGGTAGTTCTAAACAGAAGACAATACCATCACCCAATGAGGTCTTTCGGATACGCTCGAAGGTGGTGCTAACTGGAATTTCATGCGCCAGCAATGGGAGCATCACTCACAATCCAGAGTTCTCCAAGATTCTCCCAAAAAGAGAACTACCCCTTCAAATATTTGTGCAGGTGAAAAGAATCTAACAAGAACCATATCCTGTTGATCAGGTAGAAACAATATAATTTTGCGGACTTCAGCACTTTTGCACAAATCAGAGGAAAACCATACTATTTATTCAGGTTTACTATGACTTTTTTTTGTCACTTTGGGAAATCACATCGCCAGGGGCAACACTGTTCACAGTACTGCAGCCTTGGGCAGAATCCCTGACTGTCCTATCAAGGTAACTGAAAACAGAGGTGCAGGTCTGCAGAGATGGCTGCTCTTGCAGAGAACCTGGGTTCAGTCACCCACAAGGGAGCTAACAAACATCTGTTAACTCCAGTTCCAGGGGATCTGGGGCCTATTTCTGGCCTCTGTCAGCATTGCACACATGTGATGCACCTACATACATGCAGTAGGTGCATCACACACACAATTTTTTTTAAAAAAGAAAATAAGCAGAGATGCAGGCATGTGGCCACTTCATGATGCCTTCTTGTACAGTGAAGCACAAACATATTGTAGGAACGCATATTAGCATATAGTAAACTACACTGCTTCCTTTATATCTGTTCTAGACTCCAGTTGACCCAGTTTCAGCCAGCTCATTCTAGAAAGAGCCAAACAGTAAGAATTTTAGACTGTGTGGGCCTAATTTACACTGCCATCTCCTTTTTCTTTAAAACAAAATTCATTAACAAAGTAAAAACCACTACAAACTCTGAGATCTCAATCAATCATACTGTGATAAGATTTGGCTAGCAGGCCGTAGAGTAATGCACTGATAATTTTGATTGCTATTTCTAGGTAAGTTAGGCTGTCTATAAATTTCATTTATTGATAACATGTGGAACATTCTCATATGTGTGTTGAGATGGGATAGAGTCAGACACAGCGAGGAATCTCAGACCCCTATGCTGATTCCAGCAAAAGAGAAAACTGAAAAAAAAAAACCCTCTGGAGAAATCTCTGGGATGTGGAATCACACAGTCAAAATGTTGGTTGTAGACCCAGCTGCCTGGGTATGTTGTTTTTTTCTCAAGAACAAAGATGCCACATTTTTTTTTCTCACCTGAGGTTCTGGTATTTCAAGCTCTCTCTGTAAATCTTCAATCAGAGACACAACTCTTTCTCTATTGTCTGGGCAGTGTTCCCTCACCCAGGTCTCTATCTCTGTGGGAAGAATAGTTAGGAACTGCTCCAGCACCAACAACTCCAGGATTTGTTCCTTTGACCGCATCTTTGGCTTCAGCCACTGACAGCACAGCTCCCAGAGTTTGTTGAATGCTTCATGAGGCCCAGCTGCTTCTGTGTACTGGAATTGCCTGAAACGTTGTCTGAAGACTTCACAGTCAGTGTCATACTCTTGCAGCACAGAGCCCTGATTCAAGGAGGCCTGGATTGCACAACCCAGAGCCACAGCCATCACCTCTTCCAGAAGTTTACAGTTTATCTGGAGTCTGTGTCTCAGATTCCAGATTTTTTTTCTCCCTCTGTAATAATTCCGGGAACCACCTAAAGCTGAAGACAAGAAAACATGAAAAAGAGAAACAGCAATGGTTATAAGATGGCAAACTAACTGCCTTTTATTTAGATTCCCCCAACCCACAAAGACCTAATGGAGCATTTCTCAATCTTTCTGGGGATTTGGAGAATCAAAGCTGGGGACTCACTTCCAAAAAAACAATATACATACACAATCAGTTATACATACATTTCAAATGTTTACATTTCAGACTTCATTCACATATCCTCTAGAATGTGCTGTCCAAGTGACAGTCAATAGCACCGAATGACAATTTACACTTTAAAATTCAGTTGAGTTTCTTACGTATGCTAGTTAAATGTAAAGCCCTCAATAAGTAGCCGTACCAAACATTCTTTTCTAATCTATGATGGCAAAGGTTAGAAATCTGCCTTTTCTTTTTTTCTTTTTTTTGTCTTTCTCTCTCTCTTTTTTCTTTTTTTTTTTTGAGACAGGGTCTCACTGTAGTCCCAGCTGCCCTAGAACTCACTATGCAGACTAGGCTAGCCTCAGTTTCACAGAGATTCATCTGCATCTGCTTCTTCTCGAGTGCTGGGATAAAGGTGTGTTCCACCACGCCAGGCAGAATTCTACCTTTGTAGAAGCTCCCATAGATATGCTGCCATTTACCACATTCTCAGTCAAATTCTGGGTCTGTTTTGTTTTCCGCTCTATGGAGATTTCAAAAGAAATGTAGGAGAAATAATGCAGTATTTTTGAGATAATTAAAATGACAAGATATTTTTGGTGACATCTCTGAAGTTACAGAGGTGGTCACATAAGGGCTCTACAGTTATCTGGACCTGTACTTGTGTATTGACTATGGATCCTCTCCCTGAATTTGCTAAGGCAGTTCCTATACCTGTCTGCTCTAAGATTCGTTTCCTGATAGTAGCCTGCACTTTTGTGGCAGATGGATTTCGGCATGATAACTTGCTGTGTAAACCTCGCATCCAACTGTCTTGCAACATGCACATAATGATACCATTAACTCCGTAAAACATCGTTCAGGGACCTAATGGCACAGAAACTGAATAGTGGTGTGCCTGGCACAAAGGAAGGACTCAACTGAAGTTTATTACTGGTCAAGACTCCTTCCTAGGAAGCTTCTAGTTTCCTGAGCCCAGGCATGTAACCGTTGCTGGAGGGCATCCAAGGATCTGCAGTCTTTTGGCTGTGGACCCACTCCTTAATCTCCTCCAGCTTCACAGCTGGCTAGCCCTCCCCTGGCTGACCCCAAACCTTCCACCACGTCTACCAGGCCAGTGACCCGCTAAGTTTCCTTTCCAGGGCCCTACCCAATTAAAAGTTCACTTCATCAGGGTAAGGTGTTTTTTCCCCCCAAACCTCCCTGCACGGAACCCACACTCACAGGGCCTATGAGTAAAGCGATACGAGAAATCGGGGCACTTGAGGAAACGGCAGGCTTGACATGTCCCTGGAAAGTCTAAATGCTGATCTAAAATCTGATGCCAGCATTAGGGACCAGGTCCGCGAGAGCTAGTGGATGACGAGGTTGACCGCCCAGAGGAGCACTCCCAGCCCTGGAGGACTCCCAGGAAGGCCTGGCCGGGTCGCACGGAGTGGCGGCAGGGTCCCTGAACCAACAGGGGCCCGCCGCCCCTCGTTGATCCCGGGCCCGGCGCCCGGGGCACATCTGAAACCTGCCAGTTCGTGTGGCCCCAGCCAGCGAAAAGAGCCCCGTTCCCCGCGCCCGCGCCCGTGCCCCAGGGACAGCCACGCCCTCTGGCCGCTCCGGGACTCACCGCCTCAGCGCCCACGGCTCTCCCAAGCTCACCGGCAACTGCTCAGGGCGCAGGCGCACAGCCGAGCTGAGAACTACGTCTCCCGACAGGCCTCTCGTTCCCGCCTCTCAGGGCCAGCAAGGATGCTGACGTGGGATGGCTGGGACTCTCCCAGGCTTCCACCTAGCTTCGAGCAGCTTTGGAAGCGCTCCTATTTCCGGTTTTATAGCCTCTTGGTCCTAGGGGATTGGGTGGGATAAGTCTGAACCCTGGGTCGTGAGCTGAGCAAGGGCATCTTCCACCCAGCGGGTTGGAGAACCTTCTTTAAATCGGCAATGACACACTCAGTGATTCTCAAGCTTGAGTGGGGAATTTTGGGGGAAAGCTTTTTAAAGTTTCAAATTTCTGGACCCCACCCCACCCCCTGATGTTCTGGATAGCGCAAGAGCACGGAGCTTAGGGGATTCGCATTTAAATGTTTTTCTGAGGATGCCAACTCTGGTAGTCTGCCTGTGTGTCACAGTAGCCTGGGGTAGGCTTTGTAGTTTTTTCTCTTTAAGACCTGAGCTTCCATCTAGGGACCCCTCCCTCTCCACCGTCAACCCCCACCAGTGGTCTTTGGGGGTTTTAGGATTTAGCCCTCTGGCACTGCCTCAAGTCTTCCAATTGGTCCCTTGCTGTTCCCGCCCCTGGAAGCAAATTTTCCCTTCTCGTTGGTCAATGATTTCGTGGCGAAATCTGATCCAATAGCCACTAGATACAATGATGCTAATTGGAAAACAGTTCTCATCTTGGTGCCAAGCTGGCACTTTTGGTCTGTGGGTGCCAGTGTTTTAGTGCCAGCAACTAGGATTTAGCCTCTGCGTGGGTTCATGCCAGAGAGGAAAAAAAAGCCGCTTGCGCTTGTACCTCTGAGGATCTGGTAGAAATGAGACAGACGAGGGAGGAGCCGGGTTGTTGGCAGGCACTGAAGACAGCTCTGCCCAAGCCAAAGTTCTCATCTGCTGAGGTTTGGAGCCGCGGACTCCAAGTCTTGAGAAACCATCTTTTATGTCACCCGTGCCCCCAGTCAGCTTTGACATCAAGAGTAGCTATTCTCGAGGTTGGAGAGATGGCTCAGTGGGTAGAAGCACTGGCTGCTCTTCTAGAGGAACTGGGTTCAGTTTCCAGCACTCACATGGAGGCTAACAACCATCCATAACTGCAATTCTAGGGGACCTGACACCCTATTCTGGCTGCAGTTCTAGGGGATCTGACACCATATTCTGAGGCCTCTACGGGTTTGCACTAATTTGGTGCACTTACGTATATGCAGGCAAAACACTCATAAAATAAATTAATTAAAGCAAAAATATTAGCTGATCTTGACCCAAGGTGGTCTGGTAGTCTGACAGTGCCCACGGGACTGAGAAGCAAATGGAAAGGGTCATAGTAAAAACTGCAGGAGTTTCTGTTCACAGAGGCATGACCTTTCTGTTTCTTGCCTTAATTCCTCATTCAGATTTTTCTTTTCCTTTTCCGTGGTGCTGGGAATTGAATCTAGGGCCTCATGCATGCTAGTCAAGCACTCTACCACTGAATTATATTCTCAACCCCTTTTCTTTTTTTTTCAATAAAATGTTTTTATTTATTCTTTGAAATTTTCAGTTATAAAACGTATTTGGATCATATCTATCCACTATTTATAATTAGCATATGCTAATTATACAAAGTAAAGTTTTCCTTATGACATTTCCATGAATTCATTTCCATGAATGTAATGCACATTAGATCATATTTACCCCTTCTTCCCTCCTCCTTCTTCACCCCTAATAATCCCCTTTTTACATTCATGTTCCTTTAATTTTTCCCTAGATGCCATATGAGAGAAAAACACGACAATTTGGGAGAATGGCTTATTTTATTTAACATGATGATCTTAATTCCATTCTTTTTATGGTTTCTTTTTTGTTTGGTTGTTTATAGGTGACAGGGTCTCACTATTCAGCTGGACTTAGACTTGCTATGTAGTTCAGGCTATCCTTGAATTCAAGCTCCTCCTGTCTCAGCCAACCAATTTCTGAGATTACAAGTGTGTACCACCACACCTAGTTCCTAATTTCATTTTTATGGCTGAATAAAACTCCACTGTGCATATGTACCACATTTTCTTTATCTACCCATCTGATGTCCATTCACATTTTCTTGATTACCCTTATCACTAGCTGCAGTGTTTTATGGCCTAGTCTACAAGATTCCTTCTCCAGATTCCACCACAAACCCCAAGTCTAGTGAATAGTATACTATTGCCTTTGACTTCTATAGGGAGATATGTTGCTTCAGATGAAGTCAGCTATGCTCTTAAATCAAAAGGTGCTTGCAAACTCTGTCTACTGCCTAATATCCATGTGATGTTGCAGACGTTACTATTTCTCCATGAATCTCACTTTCCCCATAGGTGATCACCTTCAGTGATGAAATTCCCCGAATCTTATGGGGTTGTTTTGAGGGATAAAGGGATGTGCATTTTAATCACCCTGCTGGTAGTGCATAAACTGTCAGTTGCTAAAGTCAAGATCAGCAGGCTGTTCTCTGCAGAGCAGGGTTTCCATTAATTGTGAATTTGGAAAATAGTTTGCAATGAGACTTTGAGGTCACTGTACCCAGGGCACCCAAATTAGCTTACGTGATAGTGAGGAGCAGGAAACATGGGGAAGGTGAGAAAGAGAAAGGGCTTGCCTCCATTGGAAGAAGGTAGAAGGAAGAGACAAAGATATAAGCAGACATGGGCTCCCTCCCCACCACAAATCCTGCATGTAGCGTCACATTTGCACAATCCTATGTGTGGACATGGCATAAAAAAATCTTTGAGTTTTATCTCTTTCTCTTCCTGGGGCCAGAGGGTCAGATTAATTCTGTTGAAAATTTGCTGCCAGTTTCCTGTAAAGAGGTCTCTTTGTGCTAGACCATGTAGTGATGGTGAATGAGGTTAGGCTGCTACTGAAATTACAAACTGTGGGCTAAGAACAGAAATGCTTTTGCAATAGCCTTTACCCCAGGAAGCAGTGTGATGGTCACCTAGTTCCCAGCATGATCTAATAGCTACTGAGAGAAGCTCAGCAGTATCTAGTAGTTAATCCTTCTTATTCACTAGGTCCAATCAGCATATCATCAATGTAAGAGACTAAAATATCTTATGGGAGATAAAGGCAATGAAAAATTTTGTTGACCTCCAAGGCTCAGGAGCCATTGCTGAAGAGGAGGCAGTAAGAGCATAAGGCCAGAGGTCAGTTAGGGAGGACTGAGACAAAGCAGTATATTCTGGCTATGACAGGACCATTACACTTATAAACTCACAGCAGTTGTGGTTGCTTGCATAAGACCTGCACAAGATCAAGCCAGTCAAAATTCCAGCATGGATGAGGAGGGAATCATGAACTCCCATCCCTAGCTGAGGAGCTATTGACAGTTGAGGACTGATGGGGGAATAAGAGTCAGTTTTATTTAATAGGGCCTCTGGTAAGACAACCATGTTCCAGTGGATGACGCCACATGCATGAGTATATGGCCAGCACACATTAGACTCGGTGGGTTATGAAAAAAAATAAAAAGAGAGGGGCTGGAGAAGTTGCTCAGGGGTTAAGAGCACTTGCTGTCCTTCCAAAGGACCCAGGATCAATTCCCAGCAACCACATGGCAGCTCTCTTGTCCCCTTTCAGCCTTTGTGAGCACTGTACACATACCAGTACATACACAAGCAATCCAAACACTTGTATAAATAAAACCAAATAAATCTTAAAAAAAATAAGACTGGAGAGCTAGCTCAGTGGTTAAGAGGACTGGCTGCTTTTGCAGACGACCTGGGTTAAGTTCCCAGCACCCACACGGCAGCTCACAACCATCCTAACTTCAGTTCTAGGGGATTTGATGCCCTCTTCTGACCTCCACAGGCATTGCACAATGTGAGTACACTTACATACATGCAAGTAATATACTCATACCCTTAAAAAAATAATAATAAGTAAAATATTTTTAAAACAACAATAAAATACAATAAAAAGAAAACATGAAGTTGGGAAGGAGATCAGGTGTTGAGGGATACGTCTGGAAGGAATTTGTAGAGGAGTGAGAGTGAATTTGATCAAAATACATTGCATGCATGTGCAAAGTTTTCAATGAATTAATAAAAATATTAAAAAAATATTTTGTGCCAGGCATGCTTTTAATCCCAGCACTTGGGAGGCAGAGGTAGACAGATTTCAGTGAGATTGAGACCAACCTGGTTTACATAGCAAGTTCCAGCCCAGCTGTGACTACACAGATACCCTGTCTCTGAAAAAAAAAAATAAAACAGGGCCTGGCATGGTTGCGTACACCTTTAATCTCAGCATTTGGGAGGCAGAGGCAGGCAGATCTTTGTGAGTTCGAGGCCAGCCTGGTCTACATAGTGAGTTCCAGGACAGTTGGGGCTACAAGGAGACCCTGTCTCAAAAAAGAAAAGAAAAAATAAATAAAAAATAAAACAAAAAATTGTGAAGTAATTATGACACAGCTGAAAGTTGTCCTACTTTGTGGTAGGGCAGTGAGTATATATTTCTATTCTTGCCATCTGAAAGCAAGCTGCTACTGGTAGTGCTTACTAACAAGTATTGAGAAGATACTTACTAGATCAATATCTTCATAGTAAGTTCTAGGGGATATCTTAATTTGCTAATCAATGAAACCACTTCTGGAACAGCACCTACTACCGGAGTTGCCACCTGGTTAAATTTATAATAATCCGAAACCATCTTCTAGAATCCACCTGTCTTCTACACATGCCAAGGAAGCATGTTGAATGGTGAGGTGTCAGGAATCATGCTTCTGCATGTGTAAAATGCTGGATGTGCCAATCTCTGTAGTTCTTCAAGGAATTGATACTACTATTGGTCTACTATTTTACTAGAGAAAGGCAATTCTACTGGCTTCCTCTTCAGTTTTTGCATTGTAAGACGTGGGAATTCTGCCAAATGCT